CAGAATGTGTTCTTTTGTGTTTCTGGAGATAACTGTGCTGTGAAAAGGCTTTACTACATTCACTACATTCATAGGGTTTCTCTCCAGAATGTGTTCTTTTATGTATTTGGAGAAGAATGTGTTTTGAAAAGGCTTTACCACATTCATTACATACATAGGGTTTCTCTCCAGTATGAGTTATTTTATGCCTTCGGAGATTACTGTGCATTGAAAAGGCTTTACCACATTCATTGCATTCATAGGGTTTCTATCCAGAATGTGTTCTTTTATGTCTCTGGAGATGACTCTGTCGTGAAAAGGCTTTACCACATTCATTACATTCATAGGGTTTCTCTCCAGAATGTGTTCTTTTATGTCTCTGGAGATGATTCTGTCGTGAAAAGGATTTACCACATTCATTACATTCATAGGGTTTCTCTCCAGAATGTGTCCTTCTATGGTTTTTGAGAGTACTGTGTTGTGAAAAGGCTTTACCACATTCATTACATTCATAGTGTTTCTCTCCTGAATGTGGCTTTTTTTGCTGTTGGAGATTACTCTTTTGTGAAAAGGCTTTATCACATTTATCACATTCATAGGGGTTTTCTCCATTGTGAGTTCTTTTATGGTTTTGGAGATTACTGTGGTAAGAAAAGGCTTTACCACATTCATACGGTTTATCTTCAGAGTGAATTCTTTCATACCATTGAAGATCACTGTGAAGTGTAGAGGCTTTATCACATTGAATATATTCATAGGGTTTCTCTCTGGCAAGACTTCCTTTATGCCTGTGAAGACAATTGACATGTATAAACACTACCACATTGATTACAGTGATGACTCTTTTTATCTATATAATTTAATTTTACAATTTTGTCTAGTTTACTGTAAAAAGAGATCAAATTGTAAAGTTGTATCACTTGTTTCGATTCATAAGTTTCTACTTTATTATGGTTCCTTTTGTATATTGGAAGATAGCTATGGAGGTTAAAGCGTTTAGTACATGGGTCATCTTTCTGACACATTTTTCTCATGTGAGTTTTTCCACATTTCTAAAGAGAATTGGCAGAACTCAGAGGTTTGCCACAGTGACTGTACTCATCATTTTGCTATATTGTCATGTTAAATTTGCAAAATAAACCAGGACAAACAGAAGAATGTCCATGTTCATTGTACTCAAAGGGCTTTTCTGCAGTGTGAATGTATTTACATATTCTCAATGAAGTTGGATACACAATAAATTGTAAATTCATATCCCCTTCTCAGTCTACTCAAAGTGGAGACAACTGTATATCTTCTACTTGTTGTGAGAGAGAAAGGTACTTTCCATGTATAGATGCTCAAGTGTCTTTGATCTAATGTGACATGTATCTTTATGGCAAGAATAAAAAATGAAAGGTTACCACATTCCATTCATACAGTTTAACTGTTTGTTCATCACAGAGGTGTAATATCAGGATAAAGTTTTCTACACGATAATCTTCTTGAATCTCATAAATTACCCTTCTCACTATACTTTGGTAAATCAATAAATGTATATGAGTAATGTGGGATTTATTATGGAATGTTTGCCGATTAGGAGATTTTAGACATATTCTTATCATCTAATCTATGTATATGTCCTTCACAATAACTGAGAGGTATCAACCTAAATCAATTGCCAGTTCTATAGAGCAGTTCCCATGGGGATATAATTAAAATGTAATAGCTGTTAAGTCATTGTTTCCTTGGGCTTTTTTCCCGACTACCTGACATTGAGCTACATGGTGTTGTGAGAATTTACTAATCATCAATACACTTAAAGCTATGCTTGCTTATACTGAGTTTTCTTAAAACTTCAAGGGCACACTTAGATTTCTTTAGTGACATATTTGTATGAACAGGAAACTTACCTTCCATATATTCTAGAATTTTGAAGATGTTCTTCAATATTATTGTCTTCTGATTTGTAACCTAAAATATATTACCAGAAAATGTATGATATATAATGAAAACTGATGAAAAGTTAAGTTACTCTGATCAATGAACCTTAGAACTATGCCTGATTTATTTACCACATTGTTGCTCTTTCACAATCAAAGTTAAAGAAGAGCTCAATAACCAAGAAACATCTTTCCTCATATTTTAATAAATGGATTAAAAGTCATCGTCTTACCTATAGCAGTGAGGTTCAGGTAGGTCTCCAGCATCACATCTGTGTAGAGAGTCTTCTGGGAAGGATCCAGCAAAGCCCATTCTTCTGGTGTGAAGTTAATATGGACATCATCATATGTCAGTGCATCCTAAAATATCCATACATGTGTTTAATAGAAAGCATAATTCTGACAATATATGAAATATACACTTCTTTAACAATACATTCGTATAACTCTGGTGATTTCCACACTTACTCCATGATACAGAAATTCTAATGCAATCACCAAGTCATTTTAGAAGGAAACTGAAAAGGGGGTCCAACCTTGTCATTTCTGGGCCCTTTAAATAGGATGTAAACTTGTAGCAGAAAGGCCTATTAACAGCCATACAGTCAGAGACAAATAGATCAATACTATACACATCAGAGAAATGATCTGAATGATGGCTAACTACAAAAAGAGATAGGCAAGCTGAGTGTGTTGGTGCATGCCTTTAATTGTACCACCCAGGAGACAGAGATATGTGAATCTCATTGGAGACCAGCCTAGTCTATGTAATGAGTTTCAAGACTGCTTGAAGTAAACATTAAGAACCTGCCACCACCCTCCCCTCTCCCAAAAAAACAAACTCAAAGAAAAAATCACACAATCATATTACTAGATGCTAAGAAAGCATTTGACAAAATTCAATACCCCTTCATGGTAAAATTCTTGGAAAGTTCAGGAATTCAAGGTCCATACCTAAACATAGTAAAAGATCTCAGAAGATGGAAAGATCTCCCATGCTCAGGGATTGCAAGGATTAATATAGTAAAAAAGGTTATAAAAAAAACAAAAACAAAAAAAAGCCGGGCAGTGGTGGTGCAGGCATTTAATCCCAGCACTTGGGAGATAGAGACAGGCGGATTTCTGAGTTCGAGGCCAGCCTGGTCTACAGAGTGAGTTCCAGGACAGCTAGAACTACACAGAGAAACCCTGTCTTGAAAAAGCAAAGGTTAAAAAAAAAAAAAAAAAAGGCTATCTTGCTGAGAGCAATCTACAGATTTAAATGCAATCCGCATCAAAATTCCCACTCAATTCTTCACAAAGATAGAAAGAGCAATCTTAAAATTCATTTGGAATAACAAAAAACTCAGAATAGCAAAAGCTACTCTCAGCAATAAAAAAAAAAAAAACTTCTGGGGCAATCATCATCCCTGATTTCAAGCTGTACTACAAAGCAATAGTGATAAAAACGGCATGGTACTGGAACAGAGACAGGCAGGACGATCAGTGGAATAGAATAGAAGACCCAGAAATGAATCCTCATGTCTATGGTTACTTGATCTTTGACAAAAGAGTTAAAACCATCCAGTGGAAAAAAGACGGCATTTTCAACAAATGGTGCTGGTCCAACTGGAGGTCAACATGTAGAAGCACACAAATTGATCCATACTTATTTCCTTGTACAAAGCTGAATTCCAAGTGGATCAGGGACCTCCACATAAACCCAGCTACACTGAAACTAATAGAAGAGAAAATGGGGAAAAGCCTGGAACACGTGGGCACAGGAGAAAACTTCCTGAACAGAATAGCAATAGCTTATGCTCTAAGATCAAGAATTGATCATAATATCAAGAATTGACAAATGGGACCTCATAAAACTTCAAAGCGTCTGTAAATTAAAGGACACAGTCAATAGGACAAAGGGGCAACCAACAGATTGGGGAAAGGCCTCCCCTAACCCTACATCTGATAGAGAGGTAATATCCAAGGTATCGAAAGAACTGAAGGAATTAGACTCTAGACAATCTAATAACCCTATTAAAAAATGGGGCACAGAGCTGAACAAAAAATTCTCAACTGAGGAAGCTTAAATGGTTGAGAAGCACCTAAAGAAGTGTTCAGCATCTGTAGTCATCAGGGAAATGCAAATGAAAACAACACTGAGATACCACCTCACACCTGTCAGAATGCCTAAGATCAAAAACACAGGTGACAGCAGATGTTGGCAAGGATGTGGAGAAAGAAGAACATTCCTCCATTGTTGGTGGGGCTGTAAGCTGGTACAACCACTATGGAAAGCAGTCTGGTGGTACCTCAGAAAATTGAACATAGTGTTACCTGAGGACACAGCTATACCACTCCTGGGCATATACCCAAAAGATATTTCAACAGACAATAGGATCACATCCTCTACTTTGTTCATAGCAGCCTTATTTATAATAGCTAGAAGTTAGAAAGAATCCAGATGTCCTTCAACAGCAGAAGATGTGGTACATTTATACAATGGAGTACTAATCAGCTATTAAAAACAATGAGTTCATGAAATTTTTAGGCAAATGGATGGAGCTGGAAAATATCATCCTGAGTGAGGTGACCCAATCGCAAAAGAACACACATGGTAAGCACTCACTGATAAGTGCATATTAGCCCAAAAGCTCACAATACCTAAGACACAATGCATAGACCACATGAAACTCAAGAAGAAGAAGGAAGACCAAAGTGTGGGTGCTCTGGTCCTTTTTAGAAGGAGTATCAAAAGATTCAACCAGACCTCCCAAAGTCTAAACCTCCAGCCTGAGAGCACAAAGGGAGAGACTCATGTCTCCACCTGTAAAGGTAATTGAGGGTGGTCTTGTCAGACATCAGTGGAAGTTGAGGGCCATGGTCCCTGAAAGTTTGGATTCCCTAGTATTGGCGAATTGGAGAGCAGGGAGATGGGACTGGAAGGATGTTTGAAGCACACCCTCATAAAAATAGGAGGAGGGGGTATGGGATAAGGGGTTTTGGGGAAGAATGGGAGAGGAGATAACATTGAAAGGTAAATATGGAAAATAACCAAAAAAAAAGATAACAGGTCTGGAAAAAAAAAAGTGAGTTTACTCCAAATTACTTTCAAAAGTTTCTAGGAGATGCTAATTGGCTAAGATCTTATTTTAAGCTCTCCACAAAAGAATTTAAGTCTCTGTTTAATATTCTCAAGAGAGATGTAAATCCTAATTTCCCTCAACAATTGATTGACAAAACAGGAGTAATCTCACAAAAAGTAGAAGCTATTATTAATTAATATAATATATATGGTCTGATCAGTTGCTGGCTCTTCTATAAGAGTCCTTTGACAAAAGAGATTATTGATATAGATTTATATTTCTTTAAATAATGTCTTCATGATTCTCTGAGTGTGAAAGGAGCGGCTTCTGGCGCTTCTGCCCTGATTTCACAAGAACTCTGAAAAACTGGCTTTAAAAACAAAAGTGAGGGAATGGTACACGCCCCCCCCCCCAAGTCGGTATTCCCAGAAATCATGCCTTGTTCACTTTTAACTCTCTAAAACAGAAAGCTCATGGCAAATCTGCTGCTGACTGCCTCTGTCATCACTGAGACCAATAAAAACTATGCCAGAGCTATGTGGAAGGACCCTTTTACCCTTAGAGGGAATGGCCCCGACCCAGTTCTCTTATGGGGTCAAGGATTGATATGCCTGTTTGATACCACAGAAGGCACAGCTAAATGGTTGCCAAAAAGATTAATGAAATAAATAGATACCCCCACAAATCTAGGCCCA